TTTTTATTTCTAAGTTTTTATTGAATTTATTTACTGTTTTTGTTTGTTTTTTGAGACAGGGTCTCACAATGTATGTAATTCAGGCTGGCCTTGAACTTGTCCCAATCTTCCTGCTTCATTCTCCCAAATGCTGGGATTACAGGCACGTGCCACCATGTCTGGCTTCTAAGTTTTTATTTGAAAAGCAAACATTTTAGAGACCGGGGATTTAGCTCAGTGGTTCTGCCACCTGCCTCGCACGCACAAGGTCCTGAGTTCAATCCCCAGTACCAAAAAATAAATAAATAAAAAGCAAACAATTTGAGAAATTACTTGGCTTATTCTTTCAATTTTAATAATTGTGTTGATGCTCTAAGAAGATCCAGGGATTTTTCTCACATTAGTTTTATTTATTTTTACTTTTTTGGTACCGGAGATCGAACTTGGGACCTTGCACTTGCAAGGCAGGCACCGGAACCACTGAGCTAAATCCCCGGCCCTCACATTAGTTTTAATATTGTTAATTTAATTAGTAATTTGGCAAATTGCCTGTATTGATATTCAGGTACCCAGAGAATTTATGCAAACTTGTTCAGTGTTTTTAAACAAAAAACAAATTTCTTTACAGTATGGTATATTCTAAGTACTTTTAGGCTTTTTTTTCTTCTTTTCCTATTCAGTGATATGTAAACTAAAGTTTTAAATCTCTCTTTCCCTGTAATGAGTTTATATTTGAGGAAGTCTTAATGAATCTTAAAAGTTTATGATGTCAAGAAAAAACATTGACAATCTCCCTTGAACTTCTTTTTCTTTGAGGTTTTTTTTTTTTTGGTACCAGGGATTGAACCTCGGGACCTTGTGTTTGCAAGGCAGGTGGCAGAACCACTGAGCTAAACCCAGCCCTCCCTTGAACTTCTTATAGAGGAGAAAAGAGTCTAGTCAAAATGTAATTCCATTTAGATACTATACTTCAGTCAGATTTTTAGGGTTTTTTTTTAAAGAATGATTCTGAGAAGTTTTAATAGTTTTTTCCTGTTAGTCAATGTTGAATTAAATTTAACAAAATTTCTTGCCTTCATACAACTAACACTGAAGTAACACAGTGTAGAAGCACAATACAAGTTAGCGTGATTAACCCTCATAATAACTCTTTGGATGCAATTATTGTCACATCTTACAGGCCAGAAACTGAAGGGTCCGCAAGGTTAAACTTGCCTAAGGTCATATAATCAACTACATGCTGACTTCCAGCCCCGTTGCTGTGATCCCAGAGTCTGTTTCCTCTACACTGCCCTTCTCACTGACTCCAGGCTTAGGAATGGTGGTCAGAAGTTAGCAGAGCAACCTGCTGGGTGCCAGGAGCAAATTGACCTCTCCAGTTCTGTTTTTTCACTCTAATAAATGAATAGTTGAATTATATGATCTTTAATGTCTCTTCCAGCTCTGTAATAGAGTTCAAGACATTCGTGACATATAGTAAATTGTTTGACTCACTGGGCATCAAACTCTTGCAGTGCTTGCCTGGATTTGGAAAGGAGAAAGAATGACAAACTACATTGTTGATGCTGTTGGGGGAATTTGATGTAGACTATATATTAAAAAATACTGTTGCATATAACTAATAAATATTTTGAGTATGTAATTGAGTTGTAGTTATATGGGATAGTATACTTATACCAGGAAGTAAGTGTAGGCGTGACATGACATATCACAACATGGCATAACTTGCAAATGGTCAGAATCTACGTTCATGTACTGTGTATCTGTAAGTAGAGAAAAACGTGAACTAACTCAGTGAATCTAGGCAAGGAGTATATGTTTCACACTGTCATAAGTTTAAAGTTATGTCATAACTCAAAGTTTTGAACATGCTTAAAATGTTGCAAACAAAATGCATTCTTCAAATTGGTCCTTTTCCAATTCTGTACCTGCATTTTCCTACTCCTTTTTTTTTTTTTCTTTTTTGGTACTGGGGATTGAACTTGGGTCCTTGTGCTTGCGAGGCAGGCAGTGGAACCACTGAGCTAAATCCCCAGCTGTACCTGCATTTTCTTGACTGTGAAAGAAGTAAGATTATAAGAATATCATCCAATTAAAAACTTTTTTGGGAAAGGAAAACCACAACCAGTTGATAACAAGGCTATCTTTATATACTTTAAAAGGTTTAAAAAAAAACAACCCAGCACTGTGCATTGGTCTTACTTTCTTGTCACGGACACACAATAACTGACATCTGCAAATTAGACAGAAATAATTTAAGATTTGTTTTTCTCAGTATTGCAAATTTCCTCATCTTTTTTTTTCTTTGTATTTTTTACAGGGGGATTTTGGCAATTGCTTGGAGCATGGCAGATCCTGAATTGTTACTGAGCTGTGGAAAAGATGCAAAGATTCTCTGCTCCAACCCAAACACAGGAGAGGTATGAGGACATGATGTTTCTCAGTCCTATAACCCTTGTAATATTTTATTTCTAGTTAAATGAGTAATTTTCCATATGGATTTTATAGTGCACTTGAATGATTAAAGACATGACAAAGTAAGTAGAAGTGAGTATGAAATGTTAATCCAGGAGAGATTTTTTTCCAGAAACATTATCTAAGCTCAGTTCTTTCCACCAGCAAACATAATCATTGAAATACGTATAAATATATATAAAGCTGTTATTAAGTACCTCGTTTCCAATAAAGTATGTTCATTACCTAGCCTCAGAAATACTTGTTTGAGGAGCTGCCGTATCTCAATAGTAGAGTACCTGCTTAGCATATACAAGGCCTCAGGTTCATTCTCTAGCACCAAGAAGAAAACCAACAATAATGATAGTACTGCTTAGTTTGATTGATTTTACATGTGATCTGTGGAAATCAATGTCTTTGTCGTATGCATGTTCACACTTTGGGTGCTTTTCCTGCTCTAACCTTACCTGAAGATCCTCTGACTTTTGGAAAGTTTAAATCTCTCTTCTGAAAAAACAAGAATATAATATTTTATAATATATTTTTCCTATGTCCTGGCCATGGAAACTTAAATGTGGGCAGTCTTACCTTATTAAATATAAATGCTATATAAATGCCTTACAGTTTTATTTGCTCTAGTTTATGAGCTAAAAATCTCTATTTTTATTATTGTTCTTAGTTGGAGGGTTCCCTACTGTTCTCAATTAAGCCATAGATTTTTTTTTTTTTTTTGTACCAGGGATCAAACTCAGGTCCTTACGCTTGTGAGGCAGGCGACGAAACCACTGAGCTAAATCCCCGGCCCTGAGCCATAGATTCTTAATTACAACTTTTATATTCACCTTTCCTATATTAAGGTAGATTACTGCAAGGGCTTCTGTGGTTATGCTGATGGAATGCCAATAAAAATAAGAGCGTCTAGGGTATAGCTCAGCAGTAGAGCACTTGCATAGCATGTGCAAGTTCCCGGGTTTGATTCCTGGCACTGCCAAAAAATGTCTTCAATAGATTTTATTCTGTATTATTAAAATAAAAACAAGCGCTTTTATTATTTGATTTCTGGTTTAAAGTTTCTGGTTGTGATAGCTATATGAATATAGAAGGTGGCAAAGTGGCACAAACTTAGTTCCAACCACTTGAGTGGCTCAGGCAGAAGGATAGCAAGTTCAAGGCCAACCCTGAGTAATTTAGCAAGACCCTGTCTCAAAGTGAAAAAAAAAAAAAGGGCTGGTGCTAGCCAGATGGCATACACCTGTAATCCCAGCACTCGGGATGCTGAGGCAGGAATCCTGTGAGTTCAAGGCCAGCCTGAAGTACATAGAGAGATCTTGTTTCTAAATGAATGAATGAATGAATAAATGAATCAGTGAATGGCAAGAATGTAGCTCAGTTGCCAGAGTCCTTGCCTAGCATGCTGAAAACCCTGGGCCCAGTCCCCAGTACTGTCTCTCCCTCAAAAAATATAGTAGCATTAATGTTAGGGGAGACAATAGAAGAAAATTAAAACAGCAATGAATTTTACCTCCTATTACTTTCAGACAGTAAAAATTGTGTGTTTTACAATATGCCTGCCCAAGTAAGTTCAAAATTCATGAAATTAAAATGTTCCTTCATCTTCTTAATTATATACTTTTTTATAATGAACTTTTACATATGATTAGTTGTATGTGCTTGGGTTAGAAGTAATTGACTTTTAATGCATGGTGTAACTAAAAAAATTAGCTTCTTAGTGGCAAATTGTGAACATACAATTTTAAGTTTAATCGAGCTACATGCCTTATCAGTAAAAGGATCAAAGACATGAATAGGCTTTTTTTTTTTTTTTGGTACTGGGGATCGAACTCGGGACCTTGCGTTTGGGAGGCAGGCGCCAGAACCACTGAGCTAAATCCCCAGCCTAGGCTTTTTTTTTTTTTTAGAAGGTTCGTGCTTTGTAGTGCAGGCTGGCCTCAAACTCATGGCAGTCCTGCCTCAGCCTCACAAGTGCTGGGATTATAGGCATGTGCCACCACTCCTGGCATGAATAGTCTTTTTTACTTCTATTTTCTTATGAAATAAAACATGTCTCGTGTAGCCAAAGTTGAGGTTATTTGATTTATTCCTTAAGTCCTACAACGTATTCTCCTGTGAATAGCAGTTACTACCACACTAACTGAATTCATAACAACTGTAGTAACATTGTTTTTTTATTTTTGAGACAGGGTCTTGCTATGTGCTTGAGGCTGGCTTTGAACTATGTAGTCCAGGCTGACCTCGAACTCAGCAATTCTCCTGCCTCAGACTCCCGAGTGCTGGGACTACAGGCATGCACCACCATGCCAGGCTAACATTGTAAAGATTTTCCATCAGCAAGTGTGACTATTGAACTTGAAACTTATTCCAGGGATTTTGGTAGTTTCCAGTGGGATTAACCGGATGAGAGAGTGAAGGAATATTCTTTTCAGAATATGGAGTTTTCCCCAGTGCATCTTCCCCAGGGCTCTCCCAGGGCCAAATCTCAGTTTTTTCTGCCATGATCCTCTGACTGTTACTTCCCCTTGACCTGTATGTTTTAATAGGATTTTAGCAAACTGCTCTTATTAAGAAATATATTTGCCCTGTCTTCTTTCAGTGAATAACGTGGCATCTCCTTACAGGTAGGAAACAGGGTTAAAACTGAAGAAAAAAGAAAAAGATTGCACATCATCTATTTTCTGTAGTTTTGCTATGTCCTTTTCCTTCTAAACAGAACTCTTACCAACTAATTCTGTTAGGATTCTGTAGCAGGAGGAATGGCATGTATGTGTTTCCTCTTATGGATAAAAACCTGGTTTCTTAGGGGATTTTTCTCTCAAGATTGATTTCAAAATTTGGTCCTCAAATAACCTAAATATGGTTGTTTGAATCTTATTAGGCAAAAACAGTTAAAGGACACCGTTGGTCTTTTAGAATTCAGTAGAATGTTGTTGCCTTTCAAACCTGTCTGCTATAATTTGAAGAAAAACAGAAATCCTCACTTTTAAAGATAGGGTGGTTTAGATCTAGTTGAAATATTAAGTAGCATTTCTGTTTAGCCTAGTAGGCTATCACAGTGGATCATTCTTTGTACTTGAATGAAATCTTACTATTGATTTACTTGGCTAAAGATATTTTATAAAATAAAATGTTTAACTGTGCTTATTGACTGAATTAATTCAGGTATTTTGTTTATAAAGTGGTTATACCTTTTTCTCACTTTTTTTGATTACTGTGTTTATTAATTTCTTCATTTATTTTTCTTTGGCCTAGGTGTTATATGAACTTCCCACCAACACACAGTGGTGCTTTGATATTCAGTGGTGCCCCCGAAATCCTGCCGTCTTATCAGCCGCTTCCTTCGATGGACGGATCAGTGTTTATTCTGTCATGGGAGGGAGCACAGATGGCTTAAGGCAGAAACAGGTTGACAAGGTAATAGGAAGTGATTTATTGTTTGATTATATACCCCAAAAATCATATTGGATAATTACTTTGCAAATAACTTTCACTGACCAGTAATGGTGATTTAATGCTGATTTTTCACATAATTGTGATAAAATATTTTAGCACATGACCTGAAAAACTGCAGTGTAGTTTATGTAAGTTACCAATTTGTATATATATGTGTATATATATATATATATTTTTTTTCTTTTTTTTGTTCAATTTTCAAGCTTTCGTCATCATTTGGCAATCTGGATCCCTTTGGCACAGGGCAGCCCCTTCCTCCATTACAGATTCCACAGCAGACTGGGCAGCATAGCATAGTGCTACCCCTGAAGAAGCCCCCTAAGTGGATCCGGAGACCTGTTGGTGCTTCCTTCTCAGTAAGTGGATTTTGTTTTCATGGTTTATAGTGACAAAGGACTTTTCACAGTAAAATGTCATTGTAGGATCATTCAGATGGTAAAAAGTAGGGTCTGAGATGTATTTGTTGGCTGTTCATTATTCAGAATGGTTTCTTAGAAAAAGTGGGGCCTTTTAAAAAACACTGTGGTTGGGCCGGGGATTTAGCTCAGTGGTTCTGGCGCCTGCCTTGCAAGCAAAAGGACCTGAGTTCGATCCCTGGTACCAAAAAAAAAAAAAAGAATAAAAAGCATTGTGGTAGAATATACATAAAATTTATCATCTGTGCCACTTTTAAAATACATAGTTCAAAGCCAAACATGATGCCATATGCCTATAATTCCATCCACTCAGGAGGCTGAGGCAGGAGGACTGTGTGTTTAGGGCTTGCCAGAGACTACTACAGTAAGTTTCTAGTCCCCACCTGCCCAATGCACGACGCAGGGTTGAAGAAAAGCTTAACACAGTTAAAGAGAAAGTGTGAGCTGGGACGGCCAATGCTCCTTTGGCAAAAGGCACTGGTCCAACTCTTCCACCCAATTTTATTATTCATCAGTCAGGGTAAAGGTGCATGTATAGATATGCATTGTGTGAAATTACCATGGAAACTAACACAGGCAAGGCTTTAAAGAGAAATCAGGGCTTTTTTTTTTTTTTGGTACTAGGGATTGAACTCCAGTCCTTGTGCTTGTGGGGCAGGTGGCCGCAGGCGGCAGAACCACTGAGCTAAATCCCTGGCCCCAAGGCATTTTCAAATTAGGAGCAAGATAGACAAAATATATGGTTGTAATGAGAGCATTGTCCTTCAAGCTATGAAGTCACTAATTGTGGGAATGGAATTTGGGTGGGATTACTCCACCTCAGCTACAGATGTTATCTCGTATTAGTCCCCCAGCTTCATAGGCCAGTACTCTGGCCTCGGCTATGACCATTAGCAGGGAGGTCATGTTAATCTGCGCACTATGGCATTTCTCATGAGATAACGTCTGTGAATCACATAGCTTCAGTCAGACTCCCTTCTTAAAGTTAAGCCAATTGAGGGATTTAACTCTTTGCAGCCTGCACTGCTCACAGCATGTTTTAGGCATAATATTATGGGCTCTGGCAAGGGCCAGCCTGGGCAACATAGTAAGACACTGTCTTATTCGTAGATAGATAGAAAAAACAGACAGACAGATCCGTAGTATTAAGTACGTTCATATTGTTGTGTGATCATCAGCACCCTGTTTCCTTCCCTCCCCCTTTTTTAAAAAAAAAATCTGTCTTCTTTTTCTTGAGAATGGGCAGGGATTGAGAGGGTTTATGTGTGCTATCTCTTCTAGTTTTTTTTCAATCACCAGCCTTTTTTTTGGTATGGGGGATCGAAACTCAGGATCTCTCACTTGGCTGACATAAATTCCCTGGCCCAGCTTTATTTTTTTTTCCCCAGCCTTTTTTTGAAGCAGGGTCTCCCTAGGCAATTTAGGCTGGCCTTTAACAACACACTGTGTAGCCCAGGTTGGCCTCAACTGGCTGTGATCCTTCTGCCTCAGCCTCCCTGCTGGGATTACAGGTGTGTACCACCACACCCAGCAAGTTTTTTTAATTGTAAGGAGCATATAACATAAAATTTGACATCCTAACCATTTTTCAGTGTACAATATAGTAGTATTAGCTCACATTGTTGTGCAACAGATCTCTAGAACTTTTTCTTCTTGCAAAACAAACTCGGGAGCTGGTCTTGGTGGCTTACACCTATAATCCTAGTACTCTGGGAGGCTGAGCCAGGAGGATGGAAAGGTCAAGCCTAGCCTGAGCAATGTAGTAAAGTAGTGAGACCCTGTCTTTTTGCATTGGATCCTGAAACTATCCATTGGACAGTTGTCCATCCTTCTCGCTTCAGCTTCCCTATTCCGTGGTAACCACATCCTACTTACTGTTTTCTAGTTTCACTATTTTAGATAACTTGTGTAAGTGGATTCATCTACTGTTTGTTTTTTTTGTGATTGGCTTATTTCATATAGCAAAATTTGCTCACAGTTCATCCCTGTTGTAGCATGTGGCAGGATTTCCTTATTTTTAAAGGCTTATTCCATTGAATTTATATGCAGTATTTTCTTTATCAGTTCAGCTGTTGATGGACATTTAGGTTGCTTCCAGCCTCTTGGCTATTGTGAATAATTCTTCAGTTAACTTGGAAATATCTCTTTAAGATTCTGTTTTGTTTTTTTTTTTGGTACCGGGGATCGAACTTGGGTCATTGTGCTTGCGAGGCAGGCGGCGGAACCACTGAGCTGAATCCCCGGCCCAAGATTCTGTTTTTAACTCTTTTGGAAATATACCACAAACTGGATTGTTGGATCTTGTGGTAGTTCAAATTTTAAGTTTTTGAGGAACCTTGACACTGTTTTCCATAATGGCTGTACCGTTTTACAATCTCACCAAGAGAGTTCTAAGTTTCCCATTTCTCTACATCCTCTCCCATGTGTACTATTTTCATTTTTTTTTTTTTTTACTTTTTTGATTGTGGCCATCCTAATGTGTGTCAATGAGTGACTCATGATTTTGATTTACATTTCTCTGATGATTAGTGATTTTGAGCATTTTTTTTATCTACTTTTAGGCCATTTATATACCTTCTTTTGGAAAACTGTCTATTGAAACATTTCACCCATTTTTTAGTCAGTTTATTTTTGCTGTTGTTGATTTTGGTACCAGATGTATGGTATAAGGTATTTTCTCCCATTCTGTAGCTATCATTCGCTCTGTTAATTGTTTCAGCTGTGGTTCATACGTACACCTCACAGTTCATGTGTTTATATCTAATGCAACAGTGTTGGAGGATTGGACCTAATAACATGATTAGTTCATGAGAGCTCTGTCCTTATGCTTAGATTAATGTGGTCATTAAAGTTGCAGAATTGCTTAGTTACAATTAGAATGGATTTGTTCTAAAAACAGGTTTGGCCCTCTTTTCATTCTCTTGCCCTCTTGTGCCCTTCTTCCTTCTGCCCTACAGCAATGCAACACCTGCCCTCACCACACACTGGCACCTCCATATTGGGCTTTCCCCCTCCAGAACCATGAGCCAAACAAAGTCCTATTACAGCAACACAATGCAAAAGCTCTATTTGTTTATTTTTCCTTTTTTGAAAAATTCTTTTATTGGTGCATTTTAGGTACACAATACATTTACATTTCTCATTGGGAACTTGTATCTTTACATGATGTATCTTGGTTCTTATTTTTTCCCCATTACCTACACTCCCTTCACCCCTCCATCCTTCCCTGTTTTCAAAGACTTTATTTCCATTTTTCCATTTCTCATAATTTTTCCTTTCCCTACTTTCCTTTCCCCTGCCCTTCCCACTTCCCCTACGCCTTTGGACCTTTTCTTCCTATTTCACATTATCAATTACTCATTTTAATCATTGGTACATTTTAGGTATACAGTATAATGACATTCATCATTGGAAATTTGCACCTTTA